ATATTGATAAATGTGGTAAATATTTAGATATAAATAGGTCATATGAACTTATGCAGTTGCGAGTGCTGTAAAATTTATAGTAATTTTGATTTTCTGTGTTTGGAGATTTTTTTCTTGTGTCTGCTCGGACGTTGTGAACTTCTGTGGCCAAATGTCCCCTCATAGGCCAAATGTCCCCTGATAGGCCAAATGTCGCCTGATAGGCCAAATGTCCCCTGATAGGCCAAATGTCGACTGATAATCCAAATGTCCCCTGATAGGCCAAATGTCCCCTGATAGGCCAAGTGTCCCTTGATGGGCCAGTGTCCCCTGATAGGCCAAATGTTGCCTGATAATCCAAATGTCCCTGATAGGCCAAGTGTCCCCTGATAGGGGATGACAGTCGCCCACCTCCTGGACAGGCGAAATTGTGGGGGTGGGAAACAATTCCCGTAATGTTGGGTCAGTGTGCTACTGTGTACTCCAACAATTGCCATTATGTTGTCCGCAGTGTGAAGAAATTTGAGGCCAAGTCGAGCACATACAGCAACAACAGCAGCAACAGCAGCGGGCGAGGCAAGCGGGGGGAGGGGGAGGCGGAGGAGAACAAGACAGCGGCTATGACCTACGTGGACTACAACCCCATCAGTGGCGTGACCTTCCGAGAGAACCGAAACTCGGATGTCAAGGTCGTGGGTAGAGGGTATGCCGAGGAGGGCTTGGTGAGCTCGGAACATTCTAGTCGTCCACCAGTGGGCAACAACAGACTGGGGAAGGACAGGCGCCGCTTCAGCAATCGAGGTAGGGCCGCCCCCTGGCCTTGTCTGTCTGTCCGTCTGTCTGTCTGTGTGTGTGTGTGTCTGTCTGTCTCCCGCCCTGTATCTGGGAGTGGGCAGACATGGCTGGCTCCTTGCGTTGCTCCTACAAGTTCCAAGTTTTACTGCTCCGTGAATTGGGAGACATCTTTGGCTTGTTTACACTGGCTGGGGCGAGGGTTGAGGGGAATCTTTTCCCCCACCAGTTAGCTCAGTTGGGTCAAAGTTTCCCCCACCAGTTAGTTCCCCCATCAATGTCAAAGTTTCCCCCATCAATGTCAAAGTTTCCCCCATCAGAGTAAAAATTTCCCCCATCAGTGTCAAAGTTTCCCCCATCAGAGTCAAAATTTCCCCCATCAATGTCAAAGTTTCCCCCATCAGGGTCAAAATTTCCCCCATCAATGTCAAAGTTTCCCCCATCAATGTCAAAGTTTCCCCCATCAGAGTCAAAATTTCCCCCATCAGTGTCAAAGTTTCCCCATCAATGTCAAAGTTTCCCCATCAGTGTAAAAAATTCCCCCATCAGTGTCAAAGTTTCCTGCACCGGTGGGCCAGGTCCCGGAGGCTGTGTTTCTCTCATGGTCTGGCGATGACGTCAGTTTTCCTAAAAACAGAACTCATATGCATTTTCCTTCTACATTTATTTGCTTTGAATGTTGATTTAACCCGTTTGGAAAACTGAGTTGAATTGTTCTGAGCAGCGAGTGTTGTGAGCTGCCTGACCCATGCTTTGGACTTGTTGCACCTTTTATTTCTTTGCAGTGTTGACTAATTTTCACCTTATGAGGGTATCATTCATCATCTGAATCTTTCTTGGCTGTACCTGTCGGCACAGAGTGCAGGGAGAAATGAAGAAACAGGGAGCTTCCTAGCTTGTCGGTGTTTGCCTTGAGCTATCACCACAATGGTGGGTGTTCACCACAATGGGCGGTGTTCACCACAATGATGGGTGTTTGCCTTGAGCTATCAACTCAATGGTGGGTGTTCACCACAATGGGCGGTGTTCACCACAATGGTCGGTGTTTGCCTTGAGCTATCAACTCAATGGTGGGTGTTCACCACAATGGTGGGTGTTCACCACAATGGTGGGTGTTCACCACAATGGTGGGTGTTCACCACAATGGTCGGTGTTCACCATAATGGTTGGTGGTGACTGCGGCTATGTGAACGTGTTAGCTACACCTACAGGTCATGTGTCCATTTCTGTTGCCGTGGATGACCAAAGTTTTCTACAGGAAGGGTGCCTTCCTCAGCTACAGAAAACGATTGGATGAAAGAAAGATTGGGTCATGTGTCATGGCAAAAAAAGATTGGGTCATGTGTCATGGCAAAGAAAGATTGGGTCATGTGTCTTGGCAAAGAAAGATTGGATGATGTGTCATGGCAAAGAAAGATTGGATGATGTGTCATGGCAAAGAAAGATTGGATGATGTGTCATGCCCTCATTCCCTGCCGTGTGGTGAGGTGACTAACACAGCACAGCTCTTGTGTTTGGCTTCTGTCTGCCGTGTAGACTTGTGCTTGCTCATGCTTCCGTGTACTCCCAACTTTTTTCACATTTGCTTTTTCTTATGGTGTATTCATGTCATCATCAGCACCTGTCACCTGTATCTCTCACTCCCTGCCACCTGTCACCTGTATCTCACACTCCCTGTCACCTGTATCTCACACTCCCTGTCACCTGTATCTCCCTGTCACATGTCACCTGTATCTCACACTCCCTGTCACCTGTCACCTGTATCTCACACTCCCTGTCACTTGTCACCTGTATCTCCCTGTCACCTGTATTTCACACTCCCTGTCACCTGTCACCTGTATCTCCCTGTCACCAGTATCTCCCTGTCACCTGTAACCTGTATCTCCCTGTCACCTGTATCTCCCACTCCCTGTCACCTGTATCTCCCTGTCACCTGTCACCTGTATCTCCCTGTCACCAGTCTCTCCCTGTCACCAGTCTCTCCCTGTCACCTGTCACCTGTTTCTCCCTGTCACCTGTATCTCCCTGTCACCTGTCACCTGTATCTCCCTGTCACCAGTCTCTCCCTGTCACCAGTCTCTCCCTGTCACCTGTTTCTCCCTGTCACCTGTATCTCCCTGTCACCTGTATCTCCCTGTCACCTGTCACCTTTATATCCCACTCCCTGCCACCTGTCACCTGTATCTCCCTGTCACCTGTCACCTGTATCTCCCACTCCCTGTCACCTGTATCTCCCACTCCCTGTCACCTGTATCTCCCACTCCCTGTCACCTGTCACCTATTCTCCCACTGCCACCCCCCCCACCCCCTCCTCCCTGCCCATCGGTCACCACAGGACCCCTTATGAGCCACATCCCTGTAGGCCACACCCCCGTAGGCCATGCCCCCGTAGGCCACGCCCCCCTAGGCCACGCCCCCCAGTGGCAGCCCAGTGACGGGGACACAGAGGACAAGTTGTGGCCGACGCCGGACTCCATCGCTCTGGTCGGACGTGGTAGGTGGAGAAACCTTACT